TTAGTTTTACAATTTACAAGCTAACATAAAATAGCCATTCACATATATATTAAACATTCAATAAATACATACAAAATTAGTTCTCAATTCGGATCCGTTATATAATCTAACATCATTCACTTTCTCTTTCTCACGCTTATTTTGCAAGTTAGCAGTATTGATTTCATGCCTTTTTCGATTTTATTCATGGCAAAATAGATCGATTAGTGTTCTCATTCGATCTCATTTGCCAACAACCTATATTTGAATTGTTAGTCCATTACCACATCATTCAATTTGAAATCGTACTTAAATTTTATAAATATATAATTTATATAACAGCTTACCACGTTCTCTCTGGTCCCCAAATATTCCGCTTGTATCCTCCTTGTCACGTGAACGCCACAATCAATTCTATACAATATAATATGTTGCCAAATACGATTCATACCACTGTCACAAGTATTAGACAAATAAAGATAAAATCTGTCAAAATGAATACTCATTTGATTGCACTTTCAGTGTCCCCACCACCAATGTCAATGTGGAAATTGGTGTCTTAGGAATCACAAAATGCCTCCCTAAAAACTGGAAGAGAAACCTTTTTTTAGTGTTTTCATCTGCATTAAAAACTAAAATTAGATCACCACTTTTATCTAAAATAGAAATACATAATAAATAACATTTTTCAAGAAGTTAATCACCAATTTTCTATCGTACGCGACTCTCTTTTTTGCCCTTGACATATACCCTTGTTTCCTCCACAATCAAATCCAACACCAACAAATACCAATGGCTTGCACTGTCATTCATTGGAATTAGGATCTGCACAATTACATGTCATACATTATTTAAGAAAATAGAATATTTCTTTATAATCACATGAAATCCAACAGATCAAAGCTAATTATTCTTATTATATCACATTTGTTAACTTTTGCATAGTCATTCAATACGAGACCACAAACTTCCGCAATATGCTTATAATCTACTTTCTTACTAAAAAGCATGAATTGTAATTCCCCTTTCAAATCGTTATTAATTAACCATCCATAACACATATGCATTTACTAATTCAACTTACTGATATGTTGGAAGGAAAGAACTCAATATTATATGAACATGAACTCTTGTGAGATTCCCACACCAAAATCCACTCGACCATATCAATAACCTAACAAATTTAATTAAAAAAATTATTATTAATTTGCATATCAATATCAATTCACATAAAATACAAAATTTATAATCTATTGTTCTCAACTAACCCCTGCGACAATCCATTCTCCCGGTTTTAATGTGCATGTGTCCTCTACTGTTATGTGTTGCATTCTAAATTGGACAATAACGTCGCTGAGTAAAAAGTATGTTTGGTTATATTTATACAAATCATAATTTATTTCAAAATTGACTACAATATATAATACTTACCTATTTGATAAGTCACTATTCCAAATATAATCACAATACGCATAATCCATATTCTCAATCTCTATTGGTATTTTAACCTGTGACATTAGAAATAAAAACTATGAATACAAATATTCATCAACAATACAAATAATAAGCACACAAATATTCTTTTCATTTATGTACCAAACAAGTATTAATCCACAATTGCTTGCCACTAACAATTCATGTCTCTACATAACCTTTTTACGGATCATTTTAATTTCTAACTAATTTTTCATCTTTTCACACTAACAACAATTGCTTGCCATAACATTTCTTGCTGATCCTACAACCTATAAAATTTCATTTATATTAGTCACAATAGTACAAGAAACAATATCAACTGCATGTACTATTATTCATCTTACCTTTTGCTTTTTCAGCTATGCAACACAATCAAAATCAAATTCATCATCAATGCATATATTAGGTGTCCTGAATTCAGAAGTGGGCACCTCCCCAATCTGATAATCTTTTGATGGTTTATATTCCTCTTCTGTCATATTCACTCCTTCGAACAATTGTTTATTGGTTTTTTCCATATCATCAAATTTCTTTTCAACTGATCCAAAAACTTTAAATCTCGTTCATTTATACCCTCAATTCACTAACTTCATTCACCACTAAACCCTTTTTCAGTTAATCAACCTCATGGACACATTTCTTTTCAAGTTCACCAACACAACATTTCATCTTCTTTATCTCACCCCTGATTTTATCAACTTCATGCACCACTCCATCCAATTTCGCATTAGTTTTTCCCTCAAACTCCTTCCCATCAAACTTGAAGGTATCAATTGCTTCATTGATTCTGACTTTTCTTTCACAAATCTCAAACAATTTGTTTAACTTGCATCAACTCAAATATAAATAATTCAAATTTCTCCATAACCTTTTCATTCATACAAGTCTCCTTACCAGAATCTTTCTTTTCCAATGTTATCTTCCTCCATGGGAGGAACCTTCAAAATTAAATTATAATATTAAACGAAGTTGTTCAATTCTTAATAACAAAAGTTGACTTTTATTACCTTTTCTTTCCTTTTCGGTCTTTCCGATTTCAACTTTTTCATAATTCGAATCACATCTTCCTTGCCCCATGCAAGAATGTGTGGCATACCAATTTTTTTACAGTTGTCACACTTGCAGAATTCGACCATAAATCAAACAATACAACATGCATTCAAAATGAAGTTAATCATTTTATCGCTACAATTCATTTTATTTAAATAGGTATTATAACAAAAGACATCTTTAATACTCATTTACCTCTAATATTGCAATGCAACCTTTTAGGTATGTGTGTTTTTCGAGTTTTTGAAAGCTAACTATTGTATCTATCAATTTATCCGCAACAAATTCTACCTAATTTAGTTGACCTCCACATAACAACTTCAAATTGTCCTTTCTAGGGCATGTATCACTCGTTAGACAAAGAAATATTCGAACTATGTACAACAACACTCTCGCCTTTAGTTTATCCCCATCATAATAATCATTTTTTATCTGTCCCTCGAGATCAGGTAATGTAACCTTAGTATTTATATTATACATCATGCTAAGTTTTTTCCAATCCTCCCTCTTAATTACTTCTTCGACACAAGTCCTTTCATTTTTTTAGCCCCAACACTGCTACAACTTTTAAACCCCAAAAGAAATTAATATCCACTAAACCTACTTCTATAGTTTTCTATATCAAAATTCTTTATCAACTCCTGACACAACTTCCTATGAATTGGTCGGGTCGTTATTTCAATCAAAGTCTCAAATCCTATTTCTTTGACAACATTTAGTTTTTCCTTTCTTTTCAATTCTTCCATCAATTCATGCAATCTTATCAAACTACATCTTGTCAAGACTTCCTACATTTATTAAAAAATAAAAAATAAATGTTATGTTATGTTCTACACAACCTTTATAAAAAAAAGTTACAAGTTTATTTAATCGTGAAAGTATAAGAAATACCTTCTTTTCATGTGCACTCCTCCATGCATTATATACTTCTTTATGTTTCTCCGACAATTTCCCATAAGGTTATTTCTCCTCTTCGATAATCGACTTCCATTTCAAATACGCTTCTTTCCTCACCTGCAATCAACATTTCTTTATCAATAATATTTATCAATCGACTTCCATGTAGATTTGAGCAATATATGTATAATCAACAGTTATGTAAATATAAATGTAACTGCTTTTCATAACTGATTAAAGCCATAACTAATCATTACAGTCACCGATTATATACAACATATAATGTTATCTACAACCCAATATTTTTCATTCAACCTATAATGTTACATTCTACTTGTTTTACTAACTCCAATTATTTTCCATTCATTCAACCTAAACAATAATTGATCCATTATATTACATCTTTTCCTATAAATTAAACCCTAATCCCTAAATCCAAATTCGTTAATTGAAAAAATTGCAAACTAGGGTTTCACGAACATACCTCTATGTTCTTCAAATTGTGATTTCAGTTTTGTTCTTCAATTTTGATGCCTATTGCTCATATGGGAAACAAATTCTAAAGACGAAAACCCCTTCTTCTCTTCTCTGATTCTGGCCTTTACCTTCACTAAACCGGTTATGTTATCTATAAATACTCAATACTTTTTCCTATGTATCAAAATATGTTGAAAAGTTCGATACTTTCAAAGCCTTCTCGTTTTCCTTCTTTTTAAAAAAATCAAAAATATTGATACTTCCCCAAGTATCGATATAATCGGTTTACAACACAAAAAGTTCTATCTAAAAACTGGAAAAGTTATGTTAATATAATAATATTGGTTGAAATTTAAAATGTTACCCTTCTAACGATCACAAAATAAGTTAAAAACTGTCAAGGTTATTAATATAATTAATATTTTAGGTCGCGCCTTGAAATGTTACCAGATTTTAAGCTGATGTGGTCTTATTCATTCAAATGACAACAAACTAAATTGGTTGCTATTTGAATAGTAAGTAGGTTACTATCTGAAATGTTATAAACTTCAAAAATGTCGATATTCTTTTAAAAAAAATATCGATACTTATCGACAACATAAGTTACCTGATTAAGTCATTTTAAATTTTTTTAATATACTTGCAACTTAATATATGAAACTTAATTCAACATTTCTAGTATCATTATTTTTGTTAAATTTCTTTATAAAATTTCCAGTTGCACCGCTTTTTAAAGAGTTTTCCCGCAAATAGTTATACATCATTTCTGGTCTCATGGAGGGTCATGTCAAGCTTGATTATGTTACATGTATCAAAATTTCAATGCCTTTATTAAGGAGATGATTACATTGGTGCCCTGTTATTGTTGGAACTTCCTTTTTAGAGGAAAATAATCGGAGAACAATATAATAAAAAAAAGACATTTTTAATGGAAGTGGTGATGATTTTTCAATTTGGGGGCGATTGTTGATCAAACAGTAAGAGGATGCATGCGATGAGAACTATAGCATTTTAATGAAATGAATGAAAGAAATAGTCTAATTTAATCTATAAATAAAATTAATGAACTACATTATTAGGGGTAAAAATCGGTAATCAGAAAATTCCTCATGGAACACAACTTAAAACAAAGATAAAAACCCATTCTTTCAGGGAATAAAGATTTCAAAGAGTTTACTATATTAAAGATTTTAATGATTTGAAACAAAAGGATTGGGCACAAAAAGCACCAGCAGTTCGATATATATATATACACCCTCTTCCTCATCCATCTAAATAAAATCTGAACCACCTCCAAAATGCTCCAGATCAAGATGAATACCACTCCCGGGTCTCCGCGGTGGATTTCTGCAAGAAGTCGGTAAGTGTTTTATAAGTTTAAATCATATAAACGTGTTGATATCCACCAAATGGATCCCTAATTCCCTCTACCTTGTGAATCGAGATGGCTCGAATCCAGGAACACCAGGTGGACCATATGGATCGAATCGTGCACCAGGAGGAATACCCCTGTTTCCATCCAGAAAATAAAATCTCTAGTACAAAGCAATGCATACACAAATATATACATGGAAGAAGAGAACTCACGGTTGTGCTCCGGGGAAACCACGCTCTCCACCAACTCCACCAAACCAGCGAGGATCGTTGGGTCCTGCTTCCAAATTATAGTATATAATTAAGTCACCAAAGGATTATGACATCCAAAATTGCCAAATGAAAAAACAAGTGTTACAAACCTAGAAGCATGCTACCGTCACCACCAAAACCACCCCTGAAATCCATTTAAGAAATAAAATCACACTCAAGTCAGAAACTAAAATCAACCGTTAAAGAGTGATGACCACTAAAAAACTGATTCGGAACAGTAGTACCTGGTAGGATACATTCCGGCACCTGGTCCGGGTACCAGATCACTACCACCAATAGGATTAACAGGTGGAATAACAACCCTGTAAAGGAAGTTTTATAATTTTGATGATCATACGAGCTACCGTTCAGAAGTTAATGGAAACGTTTCATTGAAGAAGTGAAAGAAACACAAAATTATCAATCTATAACTAATATTTTTCCCATTTTATTATTTCTATCCCTTAAATACAATTTTAACATGCTTAGAACTTCAGAAGTCTATAACACGTAGTTAAGGTTTTGTATAATACTATAACAGAGCAATCAATGATTTTCTGTTCTGGTCCTAATATGCAAATAAGTTGTTCTCTAATCCGCCAAAATGGGAAAAAAAGTTAATAGTAAGCCTTGCTTAAATCAGGAAATCTTACTCGTATCGGAACATACTCAGAAAACCTAAACCACTAGTTGATTGACAGAAAACATGCATTATCGGACCATAGTCATGGAAGCTTAACCTCACTAATGAAGCTTTTTATAAATATATAACGCAAAGGAGTCATGATTTGTAGCATCAATCACAATTTACAGATAGTTATATGATTGTAAAGTTCAATGAAACGTGCACAAGGTATAAACAATCATTGAGAACAGGATTAAATCTAAAATCACAAAGGAGAAAACAAGAGATACCCTGAAGGATAGATTTGAGGGCCTCTTGGTTCATTAATTGTAACACCAGGACGATTGGGCCTTGATCCATCACCTTTTCTTGAACTACAAACCACACACACAAATAAAAGAGTAGGTAAATAAAAGAAAATTATTCCCATTGATCATCCTTCACCCTAAAAACTTCCAATCATCCCTAAAGCCTAGAAAAACATCCATTTGTAGAGAATTTCAGACGCTAAAACTACAGCTAAGAAATGCATGACATGCAAAGACTATATTTGCCTAATTACCTTGGAGGGTCAACTGTTGAGCAGTTTAACTTGGAAATTACTTCTTTTTCCAAACCATTAACTAATTTATCTAAATTCTTATACAACGCAGAGTAATTTCCGCTTGTGTTCGCCCCAACATAGTCATCAATACTGCAACAGTCAATGAAACCCCAAAATACATTAATTTAAACCACAAAAATTAAACAAAAAAGAGAGCAAACGAGAAGATAATTACTTGATTTCAAGATAATTACTCGATTTCAAGATAAAGGGGTTGAGAGCTGTTCTCAGCCAAAGTCTCGACAAGCAATTTCCTATTCATAACCAGACATTTCACCAAAACTTTCTTCGACCCTTTCTCGGGATTGGTATAGACAAACGCGTAATGGTTTTCAAATTCGTTCCAATTATCGGTTCCTACCTCGTCTAAAAGCCAAAAATGCTTTTTAAGGAATTGAAAAAGTAATAGTAGCAATCAAATCAGAAATAGAAGAAAAACGAATACCAGTAGAGGTAGAAGAGAAAACGTTGTCGCCCAAAGCAGTAGGCCCGGTGGCGGTGAGGACGAAACCGGCGGAAAGAAACGTCGCGTGAACGGCGAAAGCGACCTTGTCGTGGTCGTTCCTAAACGAAGGTCTCGCAGCTCTATCACCGTTATCTCGTTCGACATGTTCGAGATTTTTTGAAGTATTAGCGTTTACTACTGATCAGGAACTTGATGAAAGCAAGGAAAAACGAAGGGTTTTGAGATTTCGTTAAAGGTGGGCAAAGAGCTTTGAGTCAGTTTATAGCTTTACATGTGCTGGAAGAATCAAGATACAAATGTTCCAACTTCAACTTCAACTTCGATGGGCTACTGTTTATGTTTTGTGAAGCCCATCAAAACTTTGGGCCGTCTGTCCTTTTCAATTTGAAACTCTTTCATGCTTAGAATCTCACTGCAAATTTGGTTCTCCATATGGGATTTGCTGTGCCTAAAATGAACATATCCTTCATGAATTTTTAATACAACATTAGTTTATCAAACTAAATAAATGAATATAAACAATTTTTTTATGATTATTTAATAAATTAACATAAATAGATTGTGTTTAGTTTTTTTTCACGAATAAACTCGTCCATTAGCTCGTTTATCGATTCATTTATAAGTTTAACTAGTTCTCTTTTTTCTTTTATTCTTTTACATTTTAAATATTGGTGAAAGTAAGAAATAAATTGAATATAATGTGAACTTTTGAGTTAAAATTATGATATATAAAGAGCTTAAGGACTAATTGTATAATTTCACCATTTCTGAACTTATGAACAACATGTTCACTAATGCTAAACGAACCGAACACTAGTACCTTCAAAAATAATCAAACGAACACAAACACACCCGATTCATTTACGCTCCTAGGATTTGATGAACTTGGTTTGGTATTAGAAAAGTGCAGATTCAATTCAATAACAAATAACACTAATGCACTTACAAATCGTTTTCCATTTGTAATTTTCTTTACAGTTTTTTAAACAGAAGTTGAGCATTCACAACAAGACCACATAATTTTCATATTCATACAATTCAAGTACTGGTTTCATCATTATCACTTTGATGAGTCTCTGATTCGTGTCTTCCGGTGGCTTTTATATAGCAAAAAACCGCCACCAAGAAAGTCGTGGCAAGGCCTCCAAGGATCAGCCACCCCCTGCTACAAATTTGTCCACCGAACGGTGAGGCTTCTGCAGGCCAATGGCTTCTCCTTCTCCCTCAACGCTCACGTTTTCACCATCATTTGGTCCGGTAATGACCGCCGTGTGATCTGCCGAGCGGGGCGCTCAGGATGGACTTGAAGCTGGTGCATTGCCAATGATCTTCACTATCTGATGCTTTCCAAGTTTCCTTATTGCTGCAGGATTTTGGAGATCAGCTGAGCCAGATGTTTGAGCATTAGCCATAGCCACAAAAGCATTAACCAGAACCAAGAAAAAAAGAAACGAAACCATTCTTTTAATCAAATTTGATGATGGGTTGATAAAGATGTATATGTATATATATATATACACAGAAAAAACTGCTATGAAAGCATCCCCATGAGCAAAGCTGGATTCCAAGCATAGTTTATTCAAATTTCTTAATCTTTTAATAAAGTTGTCAGTGGAGTGCCGGGGGGTACTCGTGTGCATGCATTAGAATATTATAATTACAACTAAGAAATCGATCAAGGGAACAAGGTCTTTGATAATTGTATTTGTGAAGTTTGTTATCTGTGTGATTACATTAATCATACCGACAATTAGGGTGTATGATTAGGTGTAAATTACTATCCATGGATCTAAGATTCATACAGGAAAAGCTGGGGGAAAAAGAAAGAAAAGAAAAACGCAATGGCAGCAAATCTAGTGTCTTGGAAGAAAATTGCTAGTTTGTCTGACAGATTTTCTTCAAAGGCAGGGCAAAGCATGTTTTAACACAATTCAGGTAATGTCCTGAAGATGTCTTTGATTTGATTACAGGATGTTTTGGATAAATGCAGAATTTTATTTATCCAGAAAGTAGCTACTCCAGCGACCAAAACAAAACAAAATCACAGTCCAACGACCCAGAATCCCACAATAACCAAAGCTACTCCATCTTCCACTCGTTACAAAGAGTCCCATTGATCAGACTAAGTCTATTAATGTTTTTCCCAGATAGCCTCCAACGAACAGCATCCCGCACTTGGCCAACAACCCCCAGCACAGAACCTTGTTCCTTGGAATATTCTACGGTTCCTCTCTCTCCAGACAAAATAATTCATTGCATTCCAAGTCAACTTCAACAAGACAGAGAGAACATATTTACCTTTAAATCGATGAAACGCCCAACTTAGTTCAAACTCCCAGTCCACCACCTGTCTTTCAAGGTCACAAGCTCTCAAGATCAAAGTCCAAACCTCCCTTGAGAAAGGGAAATCAAGGAACACATGATTCCTAGTCTCCTGATCAGCTCCAAACATGACACACACTTCCAAAAGAAACAAACCTATCTCTAGTAGGCAGTCTATTCAAAATGGACATCCAAGATATCATTGAATGACGAGGAATATGAAGACCAAACCACACCACCTTATGCCAAGGAATCTTCTCCCCTACTCCCAACAGCACCCCAAATACTGTCAGAATCAGAAAGAATGTCGTTCGGAATGCTAACCCTAAGCTTCACAAGCCTCTTCCAAATCCAACTCCATCTTACTTTAGGCCTAACCAACCAGAAATCACTACCCTTCATCACATACTTATAGCTCCAGGCCACCAATGAAGATCCATCCTTCATTAAATTTTTTCATATGAACTGCATCAAACAAGCACTGTTCCAGGCCTTAAAATCCTTGACCTCTAGGCCTCCTTCTGACTTAGGACAACAGATAGCACTCCAACTAACCTGAGCCCCCTTGGTAGAAAAATCGTAATTTTTCCAAAAGAACCGAGTACAGAGCTGACTAATTCGCTGCACCACCTTCTTCGGCAGCACCAATTGTTTGCTCCAATAATTCTGAATACTGAAAATAACAGCTTGAATAAGTTGCATTCTTCCTGCATAAGACAGATGTCGAGCAGCCCAAGTCTGAAACCTATCCTCAATCTTGTCCATCAACGGCTTGCAATCAGCAATCGAAAGCTTCCTGGTGACAAGAGGAATGCCTAAATACCTCACAGGAAGATGACCCGCCTTTTGATCATCTTTTTCCACGATAAGCTGCAATTCCTCCCTAGCAATTCCAGTAGAAAAAATTTCACTCTTAGATGCATTAAAAGCAAGCCCAAGATAAACATAAAATTCTTGCAACACAATCCAAATGCCCATAACATAATCATAGTTGCCTTTGGAGAAGATTAGAAGATCATCAACAAAACAAAAGTGTATGAGCTTTATACGATGACACTTTGGATGAAATTGAAACAGCCCATGACTAGCAGCAGCATCCAATATATACGAAAGAACATTCGTTACCAGCACAAACAAAATAGGGGAGAGAGGATCCCTTTGCCTGATCGCCCTAGCCCCTTCAAAATATCCAACAACCCCCCATTCAAAGCTACCGAGAATCTGGGCTGAGTAATACAGCTCATAATCCAATCATGAGTGATCGAGGAAATCCCCAAAGCTTGCAAAATAGTAGAGATAAACCCCCAGCTAACCGAGTCAAAATCTTTCTGAATATAAATATTTAAAGCACATCAAGGAGAAGGGTAGTTCTACCATAGCCCTTAACAAGCTCTTGTGCCACAAGAGTGTTGTCTAAGATACTTATCCCCTTCACAAAAGCACTTTGACTCCAAGTTATCACCTCCTCTAAATGCTTAGCCATACTCCTTGTGATGATCTTAGTGATGAATTTGTAGATTACACTACAATAGGAGATGGGCTAAACTCCCTCATACAAGAAGGATTCTCTCCTTTAGGAACAAGCACATGAGTAGTGCTATTAAAAACAGAATGCATCTGACAAGTAGCAAAGAAAAACAAAATTGCTTGAATCACATCACCACCAACCACCGTCCAAGCAGATTTAAAGAAATAGGCAAAATATCAATCTGGACCAGGGCTTTTGTCTCCATTTTGCTCAAACATATCCTCTTTAATTTCCTTTGTAGTAACTTGCCTCCCCAAGTCTTCTCTAGCATGAGCCGATAAAGTAATATTTAAAATGGCCCTAAGATTATCAGCTGAGTAGACCTTAGCTTCAACATCACCCGAGTAGCCCTTAGCTTCAACATCAGTCTGCCCAATCAGCTTTTTAATAAAACCCATAGCTTCCTCAGCAATTTCCTCAAAATCCTCTAAAATATTTCCATCATCAGAGGTGAGTCTACGAATGGAGTGCCTGTTCTGCCTCTTAGCAACCAAAGTGTGAAAATACTTGGTATTCTGATCTCCTTCCTGAACCCAAGTAGCCCGAGACTTTTGTCTATAAAAACTCTCCTCGGCAACAAGAAAGGCTTGCACCTCTGCATACTGTAACACTCTCAACCCGTATCTGACCCGAATACTAATTGAGGTGTCACATTGACTTTTCAAATCGTTTACTTTTAAAAGATAGTTGAAAAATTAAACTTTTATTTATATAAAAATAGCGGAACCCTTGATCAAAGTATATAAAGAGAATTCAACTTAATTTGAAAATAAAAACTCAATATATTACATAAATATAATAGTGTATGTTACAAAAATTATCAGAGCATATACAACTCAACATTTAATTACATGTCAACCACATTCAATAAAACAAAATACATACTGTTAAATCTTTTCTAATATAATATTCGATAGAAATATGATGTCCTGACTCCTAGCTTTGATCTTCTTACTTCTTTGAACCTACGAGTGAAACACTCACATGTTAAGTCGTCAACTTAGTGAGGCATATAAAGTGCATAATAAAACATTAAAACACTTAATCATATTCTAAGCATTTTATAAAAATCATATAAAGAAACCATAGAACATATCATAGAACCAAAACATATATATATATATCATCATGCACTATTCATTTATATTTTTTCTTTTAATAGCTCATGGTACATCATTGAGAACTTAAGGTATGGGAGTGCATTGAGGTTGTGCACTAATATTGTCACCACAGCTCGTATAAATTGCACCGAAGTACCGCATAGAATATGCACCGAAGTGTCACGTAGAAATGTTCCGAAAGACCACATAGATATGGCCCGAAGGACCACGTAGAAATGTCCCGAAGGACCACGTAGAATTGTCTCGAAGGACCGCGTAGAACCCTCGACTCTTGGCATGCCAATTATACTTTTAGCTCTCATATCACATACTTTTGGGCTTTATCATTTATAACATTTCACATAGATTATATCACATAGACATATAATCACATAGATCATTATCACATAACTTATATCACATTTTCATGTAATCACATAGGTCAATGCTACATAGCTTATATCTCATTTTCATGTAATCACATAGGTCAATATCATATAGCATACAATATAATCAATGCATGTTCATATAATAACAGAGTCAAAACTATGCTTATATTCATGTAATCATGTAATCAAAACATTGGAAATAGATTCATCGAAAGTCTTCTTTCTATAAGACTATATATAATAGTTTACACTTACCTTAGCCTCACTTAGTCAAAGCAAAACTCTTATCTCTCTCTTGGTTAAAATCTTATATCGTCGATTCATCCGGAATTTGCTTTCGTTCGATGTATACACAAATATACGATTTATATGAATATCGGAATTCGAATCACTATTAATCGATCATCAACAACTTAAGTAAAAAAACACTTAATTCACAATTTCATTCTGAATAATATCGGTACCCCAAGCCCAGCACTGATACTTCCTCACTATTGTATCGATATTATACTCCAGTATCGATACCCATTCTACATTCTGGAATTTTATCTCTAAAAATGGTACTGATACTTGTCTATTAGTATCAATACCCTTGGTATCGATGTTATTCCTTCGGTATCGATACTCTTTTAAGGATTCATCAAATTTTACCTTATGATATCGATATTGTTCTTCCAGTACCGATACCCTTTCCCATAAATTACCTATTTCAATTCAAAAATTTACCAACACTTACTTAAATCCCACTATTTTAACTCATTTCATGTCATTAAACTCAACTACATTTATTAAAACTAACTTATATCACTTTAACATACTTAAACACCCAAAATCCCACAATATCACTTGAAACTAAAAATATTACCAAATATTCAACATGCCCCAAATCCTATTCCAACACCATAGATTTCTTATTCCAACTTATGACAAGTTAAATTTCATTTCAAAATCTATTTACTAACTCTTTCTCATCAATTCCTCAAAACCCTTTTTATTCAATCACTCATAACTTGTAAATCTTTTAGTTTCTACTTCTCTTTAAGCTTTCTCAATCTTTCCTAATACCCCATGAATCAAAACCAATCAAAATTTACAAGAAATAACCGAGTTAAAGATTTCTCACCTTAGGTATGAACTCACGCTGGAGAGGAGGAATAAATGATGAAGAAAAAGAAGAAATAACCCTAAATGCACAGAGGCATTTTCACAGAATCCCTAGACCCCGATACCATGTTAAGATTTTAACTTTTCCCAACTTTTTCTTTACATCCAAAGGCCATACATTTCTTTTAGATAGGAGCAGTATATATAATACCCTAAAGGAGACACCTCAACAACTTTTAACAAACTATTACAACTCATCAAAACCTCCTAACAAATTTGCAACATCTCATCATTATCTATTACAATTGTCATCTTAGCTTGATTCATATCAATGCTTGAGGACAAGCATTGAATAAGTGAGGGGAATTTGATGAGAGCTTAATATTACATATTTTTATTATTATTTACCTCTCATTTATCGTTTGGATATTATTGATTTATCTTTATTTTGAGTTTATTTTGGACAGAAACTTCATTGGATTAATTAGCTTAAAAACTAGTAGATTTCGAAGGTCCATTCAGCATCTTATAGAAAACAGGCAGAACTTCCTTGAATATTTAATTTGGAATTTACTTGGGACAAGGTTATCCAGAAGATGAAGAAGAATTCAACCAGAAGACTTAAATATTTATCTTTTGCGATAAACCTTTTTAATTTAGGATTTTTAGTTTAATTGTTCTATTATTATTTTATTTAAGAATTAGTTGTTTTATTAGAACTATTATTAGGATTTTTAATTTGATTATTTTAGGAATTAGTTATTTTATTTGCTTAGAACTATCGGGTTATAAATACCCCTTAGGTTTAATAGTTAAAACTCATATTGAAATTTATTATCCTTGGTTATTTATTGAAGTTATACTTTTCTTTCATCTCGATCTTTATTTCTTTATTTTCTTTCATTATTTTCTTTTCACAATACTAAGCATGATCAATCCATGTTTGGCTAAACTTCTACTTAGCCAAAGGTTTTGTGAAACTCAATTCCATTCATGAGAATTGGATCTTGATCTTCATACCTTCATATCGTATTCTTGATTCTCTGGAAATTGGGAGTGGCAATCGGTCATTCTCTTAAAATCTTTTACGTTTTCAACTCAAAAGGTGCATGTTGATTTGAAGACTGTTTTGCTTAAAGTTTGGAAGTCGGATCGCTTGGTCGTAATTCAGCTTCCTGTGAACCAACTTAGCGGTGGTCCGTTTAGGGGAATCAAGATCGAGTTCGACTCTCGGTGAGACGTTATAACTCGAGTCGGGCTTTTCCAGAATTTAAAGTTATTTTGGATCTAATGGCGATAGACGTTGCTAGACCAACAAAGATCGAATTTCAGAGATAGAATTAGAAATTTCGATAAACCAGAGATAAGAGTTAGTTGCATGGGTTGGGCCTTGTTGACTGTAACCACCATACATCATGAAGGGAAAGTTTTATTTTGATGATGGATTAAAATTAAGACTAAGCAAAACTTGATGCTATATCATCTTTATTTAATTCTTTTACTTTTTTTATTTTCTTATTATTATTTTTTATTCAATATTTATTTATTTATTTATTTTATTCATTTATTTTCATAAATTTTAAATCCCCTTTTATTATTATTTTATATCATAACAAAACTGAACTGTTTGACCAGCCGACTAAATGTAATTTTTCATTTATATAGATTGTTAAATGGAATAATAACACTATAAAAATATTGGTCTTACCAATACAAATATAAAATAAATAAATAATCATTACAAGTAAAGTCCAATAATTTTGTAAATGCTAAAATTGCATCAAACTATATGTGACATAATTTGTTTTAACCGAGCAAGCTGCTTTAGCATTTGACATAATGCATTACGTTTTTACTAATAATTCATTAAAAGAAAAGAACCATATGGTTGAATACATAAAAAATTATGGATGATTTTGTTTGTTTTTATAGCTTTCTTTTTTATTTTAATGTTGGATTTGATATCTCCTCTCTAATTAACGTTTATTTGATTATTGTATTAATTTGTCTTTTTTTTCTACCTCGACACTCACAATCATAAAAAAATAAATCATGATTGAGTTGTGATAAAATCAATTTATCAATGTACTATCAATATTATATATAATTTTATATTAATATTAATGTTATTTATCTTTTTGTTTCGATATAAATGTTTGGTTGTATCTATTAATATTTTGACCAACCAACTAAATATAATTGTTAATTTATATAGATTATTAAATGAATTAATTATAACTATAAAAATATTGGTCTTATCAATACAAATAAAAATTAAGTAAAAAAGTCATGTCAAGTCAAGTCCAATAATTTTGTAAATGCTAAAATAGCATCAACCTACATCTGACAGAATTTGTTTTAA